TCTGAGGCTTTACAGGCCAGATGGTTTCTGTCGTAGCCACTCAGCTCTGCCTTTGTAATGCAGAAGCAGCCACAGAGGGAGTGGGGGATGGACGTGGCTGTGTTCCAATCAACCTGAGTTAGAAAACAGGCATCGAACAGGATGTGACTTGCAGGCCCTCATTTGCAGACCCAAGACTTAGATGCCTTCTACTTTCTGCAATAGATGAAGAAGCCGGGGCCGAGAAGAGGTCGAGAGATGCGCCCAGAGCTACTCAAATAGTGAGCGGAAGAACTGCATTGATCATCTCATGCGCCTACTCATTTGTGATCTTTTATCCACTTTGCTCTTTTTGCAGCATTAAAATGATTCCTACACATCATCTAAGTTCTTCCAGAAGTGACTTTCAACTTTGTAATTTTTGTTCTGTGACTTGAAGGCCAATAAAGCGCAGGCCAAGACCCCTAACTCTGGAGCTTCTGGGAAATCAGAGAACTGAGGGCCTGTGTGGCTTTAGGACTGAGGGACTATTGCCCACATTCCAGCCTCTCCTTTTATGAGCTGGAGAGAAATTTGGCAAGATGGATGGAGCATAAAGTATTTGAGCTCTTCAGAGACCAGGTTCTAACTCAACCATAAATACTATTCCTCAGTTTTAGTCAGTGAGGCTCACTAGGGATAGAATTTTATATCAGAGTGAAAGCTGTTCCTCTTTCTCTCCAGCTTTGGGGCAATAGTAAGGGGATTAAACTTGGAGTTTAGATTGAGGGGCACGTCTGTATTCTGCCACTTGCAAGCTGTGTGACCTGAAAAAATTACTTAAACTTCTGATTTGTCAGTTGATGCATCCTGAAATGAGAGTGATAGTGTCCATCTCATGGGGTTGTTTTAAAGACTGAGATAATGTACAAGAAGGTAATTTATCCATTGAAAAGCACTGTAAAAATGTAAGTTAGTGGGACATGGATTGAGAATTGAAGCCCAGATACACACAAATTAGTGCCATTTCAAATGCAGGAAACGAGGAGCTGACAGACTCAGTGCACGAGGAAGATGTTGACTAGCAAGCCCATCTGACATTTAGTAGAAAACTAAACCTCATTTATTTTCGTTTAAAATGTGTTGTTCCCAGGAGCTTTATTTCAAGTTAGTGCATTTATTTTTAATCTTCTTACAATTATCCAGGGGAATAAATTAAAACTTCTTTCTGTTGGGGGTGTTTATGAAGTGTCCTATTTAAACATGCACCCGTGTAAAATGCGGTAATGCTTTAGGTCTGAGGAATGCAAGAGTGAGGTGAATTTCACCTGTTTGTTTAATAAAGTTTTTCTTCATGCTCCTTCCTTCATTCGAAATGAGATAGGTGGACATCATGGTCAGAGGTGGCCTCTGGATCTATATTACCTGGCTTGAATTCCAGCTTTGACGTTTACCAGCTATGTCATGCTCTCATTTCCTCCCTTTTTTCATGCACTTGAGATAATAATAGTCCATACTGTTTTTTATGGCTTGTTTTAAGAATTAATGTGTTAGTGCATATAAAGCATTTAGAGTAGTGCTTGGCATATAATAAGGGTTTGCTAAGTATTAGATATTATTACTTATTGCTATCACTATGCTAAGCATGGTGCTAAGTCTCTAAGGAACCTGATCCCTGTGTTAAGAAAGCAAAATGAAAAGATATGGCATTTTAGAGCATTGTGCTCTGAGTGGTGAGGGGAGAATTGGAAGTGTGTAGAGGCAAGATAGGAAAGTGTTTAAAAAATGAGACTGTTGATTAATTTTAAGAACACCTTCTCAGCAAGCCTTCAAAGCCTGTTATGCTTTTCTTTTCTTTTTTATGGCTAAGGAAACCCAAACTGTGTAAGTGATGAATGGTAAAGCCTGGTTTTGACCTAAAGAAACTGTCTTCCTCTGGGGTAGGCCACTACCAGGCCTGTTCCATGGAAGTATCTGGCAGCCCAATGAGATAGCAAGAAATAAAACATGGCAGTAACTATGTCGTATGAAGTGCTTTGCCAGTGCTGATAGCTGTATTATGTTACTATTATTCAGTGATACATTTTTTTTTAATCTTCACCCGAGGAAATTTTTCTATTTATCTTTAGTTAGAGCGGGAGGGAGAGAGGGAGGAACAGAGAGAGAGAAACATTGATGTGAGAGAGACACATCGACTGGTTGCCACCCACACAACCCCAATCGGGGCCAGGGACAAACTGCAACTGAAATACATGCCCTTAGCGGGAACTGAACCTGAGTCTCTCTGGTCCACGGGCGGACACTCTGACCACTGAGCCAAACCAGCCAGGGCAGTGATATGTTTTGAAACTGAACCTGAGATATTAGATCACTTGACACATGGTAATAAGTTGGGTACAAATGCTGACATGTCCTGCCCATCTTCAATGCAAGCACCAAGCTCTAACATGGGACAAAAGATGGTGAATCTGTAGTCATTGGCTCCTCTGGATCCCAGATGCCTCTGTTCATGCATATTGCTGAGAACACTAAAACTCAGATGCACCTTCTTGAGGAACAAGGGAAGCTTAGGGGAATTGCATCTGTATACGATATCATAAATCCTTTGATTCTGCAGGTATTCTTGCAGCATTTGTTTGGTTGCTCAGTGGTAAAACACAATGAAAGTAATGAAGCTCAAGACCAAGTCATTGTTTTCACCACTTTGTGTACACTGAACCATCTCTGGGCTGGCTTATCTCCTAGACTGTCCACAGAGGTGGAGAATTCATTACCACAAAGCTGTGATTTTCACCACTAGCCAAGGGTCCAGAAGGTCCATCTAATTGTGAGGATGAGGAAGTAAAATTGACTGTACAGAAAACCTGACAGTCTCCACAGTTACTCTTTTTGGAGCTTTCTCTGTGGACCATTCTTAATGCTCTTAGAATGTTATCCTTAAACCTAGGTCCCATTATGAAGAGATCAGTAAATTTTTCTAAAAATATTAATATTTATAAAATAAGGGGGCATGGGGTTCAGCTTCTAGTTATGGCAGGATGAAGATGATGGTTATTCCTTTCTACAGAAGTAAGTACAAAAATAGGTGAAATTGGCAAAAATAACTATTTAAGGGCAGTAGAAATTTACCAAAGGCAGATAAAGTGAGAAGTTATCTTCGTAAGTGAAAGAATGTTGGGTAAGAACAACAAGCTCAGATGGCATCTGTCTGGGCCTCTTTTCTTTTCTTTATTATTATTTTTTAATTAATTTATTTTTTATTAATTTTTGTTACAGATGTTTCTCCTTCTCTCCCCTCGGATTCCCCCCTCCCCCTCCCTCTGGGCCTCTTTTCATAGCCCCAGGGATGCCAGACAAACCACAGGATGTTCAGTTAAGTTGAATTTCAGATAAATAACAAGTAATATAAGTATAAGTATGTAAAATGTTGCATGGGAGATGCCCTAAAAAATTACTCATTATCTGAATTTCAAATTTAACTGGCAATCTTGTATTCTTATTTTTTTTTGCTAAAGCAGGCAGCCTCCCCTCTATGCCTACCCGTTCTCTACCCCAACAGGGGGGTCAGTGAAGAGTGTGGGGCTGGATGAGAAAACCAGTGGCTTTGCTGCCAGGGGGATGAGTATGATTTGGGTGGGAGGTGAGGGTGAAAACCTGTGGCCTTGTCAGCTGAGAGTGTTGAACTTTGTTGAGAACAGAAAAAATAATTTGTTTTACTAATCTGAGGTTTCAATTCTTGTTGGGGTGAATTTTAGGCCAGCCAGAAACGTAATAGAGAGATTTTAGAAATGAGATCAACTTTTCAAACATCCCTGGCTGAGTGGAAAGTGACACAGATTCATGGAGGAGTCTTGAGAGAGCTGAGGGGAAAATAAATCCCAAAGATGACCTAACTGATTAAAAATTTGAATACATTCCCAGCCTACACCCTTATCAACCAGCAGAAGGTGTGAGATTTATGGGTTAAATATATTTGCATGCAACCTCTGTTCAAAGTACCGATTGAGCCTTAAGCTATGTAGACACAGGGGAAACCACTAAGAAGCTGGGGTAAAAAATTAAAAATGAAAGTTAAATAATCTGTCCAGAGACATCAGTGACCACACACCACAGGGGAGATAGATTTTAAAGTTGAAGTCCAGGCAAGTTACAGAGAAAAGAAAAACTTTTTTCTTTCAGAAAAATGAAACAAAATTAGAGTTGTTACAATATGTTATCTAAAATGTCCAAATTTCAACCAAAAATTATGAGACATACAAGGAAACCGGGAAATGTGATCAATACTCAGGAAAAAAAAGCAGTTAGTAAAAACTGACTCTACTTGGGCCCAAGGACCTTAAAGCAACTTTTATAAATATGTTTAAAAAATTAAAGAAAAATTTGTTTATTTATTATTATTATTGTTGTTATTATTTTTAATCCTCACCTGAGGATGTTTTTTCCATTGATTTTTATAGAGAGTGGAAGGGAGGGGGAGGGAGAGAGAGAGAGAGAGAAAACCATCAATATAAGAGAGATATATCAATTGGTTGCCTCCCAACTGGGGCCAGGGATCAATTCCGCAACCCAGTATGTGCCCGTGATGGGGAATCAAACACACAGTGCACTGGCAGATGCTCTAACCATTTAGCCATGCTGGCCAGGGCCAATTCTGTTTATTTTTAAAAACTGGCAATGACAGGAAATAAAAAATCTCCATAGAGAATGAAAATTATAAAACATATAAAAACAAAAGGTAATCTAACATTGAAAAGTTAAATAACCAAATTAAAAATTTAGTTGATGGCCTCAACAGCATATATAAGATGGCAGAAAAAAGAATAACTGATTCTGAAGATAGAAATGATCCAATTCAAAGAACTGAGGGAAAAAATGGGTGGGAAGAACTGAGCCTCAGAGAGCTGTGGGATAATGGTAAGATAAGTCTCAACATAACTGTATGGAGTCATAGAGGGAGAGAAGAGAGAAAAAGGGACAGAATAGATTTGAAGAAACAGTGGTTGAAAACTTCCACAAATTTGATAAAAACCTATATTCTACAGATTCCAAAGCTCAATGAACTCCAAGAAGAATAAACACAAAGAGAAATACAACTAGTCACATCACAGTATAACTGCTGAAACACAAAGAACAAGTCTTGAAAGCAGCAAGAGAAAAATGACTCATCATTTACAGAGAAACAACTTATGAAAATGTATTGAAGTCAAGAAGGCCATGGAATTACCAGTTAAATGCAGAAAGAAAAAACAGTAAGTGTCATTTAATAATTCTATATTCAACACAACTATTCTTCAAAAAATGAGAGTGAAATAAAGACATTCCCCGATAAACAAAAATGGAGAGTATACCTACCATATAAGAAATGCTAATGGAAGTCTTTCAGGATGAAATAAAATGATAATAGGCAGTAATTTGGATCCACCAGAAGAAATGAAGAACACAAGAAATGACAAGGATGTGAGTCAATATAAAAGAGACTATATATGTTTCTTCTCTTTTCTTTTTCTAATTTCTTTAAACACATACTGTTGTTTAAAAAATAAATGTAAGACTGTATTCAATTTATAACACATGTAGATTTAATGTATATGATGACAACTGAATAAAAGATAGGGGAGGAAATGGAGCTACATTGCATCAAATTTGCTATATTTTGTCAAAATTAAGTCAGTGTTAACATAAAGTAGATTGTGATGAGTTAATGATGCATAGTAATTCCTATATACACAACTAATTAAAAAAAAACTAAGAAAAGCTTTAAAAATCAATAGAGGAATTAAAATAGTATACTAGAAAATGTATATTTTAACACAAAGTATGACAGTAAAAAGGAACAGGGTAAATAGGACACAAGTTATATAGAAAACAATTGTAAAATGGCAGACATAAGTCCAGCTACATCAATAATTATATTAATAGGCAGAGATCGTTTATTAATTATGTTAATATCCAGAGACTGGATAAAAAAGTAAGCTCCTACTATGTGCTACAAGAGATGTACATTTGTTCAAGATAAAAAATTGGTTGAAAGTAAAGGCATGGAAAAGATACACCTTGCCAACAGTAGCCATAAGAGAGCTAGAGTAGCTATTTTGATTGCAGACAAAATCGTCTTTATAACAAAGAATATTACTATAAACAATGAAGAACATTTTTAATGACAAAAGGTAACTACATCAGGAAGATATGACACTTAAAAATTATTATACATCTAATAACAGAGTCTCTGAATATGTGAAGCGACAAGATGGAATTAAAAGGCAGACTCGACAGTTTGGTAATTGTAGTTGGAGGTGTCGATGTTCCTAAAGTAGTCAATAGAACTACTAGATGAAAAATCAATACGAATATGGAAGAAAATCACTGTCAAACAGCTTGACCCATCTGACATTTATACAATACATCCAACAGTAGCAGAATATACATTTTTGTTGTATCTCATCATTTTTTATTGAAAACTGAACATTTTTTAAAAGAACAGTAGAGCCTGAGGTAAATAGGATTTATGCTTGGTTATGGGCATACCTCTTCTCAGTGTTTCATGAAGGGGGGATTGAGCCAATCTAGCTTTCATTTAAGTTGATTTTAGGTCTTGTTGCTATAATTTTCATTAATGCATCATGGTCTCCAGCCTCCCTATGGATGGACTGCTGCTGCCTTGTACTAAATGTGAACCCCAGGGTGCTGGAGGATTTTTTCTCAGTGTTCCTCATTCATCCTCAGTTTTAAGCAAACTTGAATGTTTGTGCCACAAAAGGGTCTGTGTTCATATCCTTCCTAGTCTGTATACTACTGCTATTGATTATTTGGTGGGAGGCTAAATGTACAGGTGAGGTGGGGCTCTTAGTTCTCTTGGTCCAGCTTCAGTTAGCCATATTCTAGGCACTTGGATCTCAGGAGTGGAGCTTTTCAAAACCATTCCCGTTCTCCATATGGCAGTCAAGTACTGCCTAGTATCTGTGGAGAATTTCAGGCAGGAAAGAGTTCCCAGCTCCTCTTCCAGTGGTAGCTGACCACTGCTTTGTGTCGGCACAGAAGCCTGGACAGTAGGGGGTCTCCTGGCCCTCAGCGACAGCAGCTTTTGCTTTACTTCTCCTGAAGCAGCAGTGGACCTTTGCTTGAGATGAGTGACAGGTGGGTTGCCCTGTTCTTCGGCAGCCAACCCCCAGTGGTAGATTGCTAGCCTTTGCTACACCCAATGCACGGTTGGTGGTGGAGATGAGGTGGGGGGTGTTTCCTCACTCTGCTCTCAGAGTTTTCCTTTGCCTGGCTGGACTGGGTTGGGGGGGGGGGCGATTTTCTGTGCCTCAGCAGATGGTATTGGCTTCTATCCCTGAGTAGAGGCCATGGACTATTGCCTGGGCTCTGGGAGTGGAAGCAGTTTCTGCCCCTCCCCCAGGGCTTATAGTACTTGACTTCCATTTCCAGAAGGGTCTGCCTTCAAGAAGGAAAGTTGTGGGGCTTTGTGTGCCTTGCACTGAGGGGTGGTGGTGGGGAGACAGGTGGAAAGAAGCTGAGTGAGCGCAGACTTCCTTGTGTTGGAACAAACAGGAATTAAATATCACTCTAGCCCACACTTGGCCTTTAGGAACTTCTTAAATGTTGATCTATTTTCCACTTACCCTCTTTTGTTGTGGTTGCCTCTTAAAGCTGTGCTTTGTACCAGGTGATGGAAGCAGTTCATGCATTTGGCCTCTCCCCAGAGGGCCTGTGACCTGAAATTCAGTTCACCTTGTGTTGCTGCCTCAGCTCTCTGATAGACTCAAGGCAAGTCATGTTTTACTTATTCAGCTTTTTCTTGCTTTTAGGTGAAAGTCACATTCTTTTACAGCTTTCTGCATCTAAGGCAGTGGTTCTCAACCTTCCTAATGCCACGACCCTTTAATACAGTCCTCATGTTGTATGTGGGCGTGTCTGCATGTGGGCAGACCCGCCTGGAGATGGATAGAGGAGCAGTGTCTCCGTTCCTAAGACCATCAGAAATATGTGTTTTCCGATGGTCTTAGGTGACCCGGGTGAAAGGGTCATTTGAGCCCCAAAGGGGTCGTGACCCACATACTGAAAACTGCTGATCTAAGGGGAAGAGACACAGAAACTTCCTTTAGTTAGTCTTTCCCATTTCTGAATTTCTTATTGGGTTTCCTGTTCCACAAAAAGGGAGCAACTCTTCATCCTTTTTGGGAGAAGATTGCATTAGGGCTCAGTGCACCTGACAAGAAACTGAAGATCTGTCCTTAGGAGTTGAGTGAAGAAAAAAATCTTCTAAAGTTTGTATTCTCAAGTTTAAAATTTTAGTGTTTCAATACTAAATAGTTAAACAATTGCTTTTAAAAATGGAGGTCATGAAAAATTAGAGACATGATTACACATTTTGACTGACTTTTGCTTTGAATAATTTATGATTTTTAATAGTTACTTAATTTATACCCCCTCATATTACATAGAATATATGTTTTTTAAATGTTACAACTTTCTGTATGACTTAGATATATGCACTCTAAGCGTTTGGAAAAGAGCGGATTAAACAGCATTTGGAAGAGACTGACTTTGGCCAGTAGAGGGAATTTTACTTGATCTGAATATCAAATGACTTTAAAAATGAAATAAAAAGTTTCAGTTTTCCCACTTTTAAATTCTCTTGGCATGATGATTAAAAGAAAATCAAGAAGAGTGCATTGAGTGGGATGATGTAATGTGAGATGCCAAGAACACGGATGACTTAAGACGAATAAAAATAGGACTCTGCTTTGAGGTAGAGTGATTCAAATGTGGAGAAAAGTGTCTCTCATTTTGATGAGAGAGACATTTTGGGTTATATTTCTCTTAATAAAGAATGGGTTAGATTTAGAAGCCCGTATTTCATCTGGGAAAAGAGCCCTGCCTAGCAATAAAGCAAGCAATTCACATGAACTCTGATCCATTTGTAAAGCTTTAAATGTCTGGAGAAATAATGGTAAACCAACCAACAAGCAAAGAAACTCACAAAATTAATCCTAAGAAGGAAATATTTGGTTTAAATGCCCCAAAGACTTTGTGAATATCTGAAGCTCCATAGCATAGTCCAGCTATGCAAATATATATATATATTTTACAAAACCAACTTGCCAAAGCTTTAGTTCTTCAGTTTTTATGGGTGAGGCCAAGTTATATCTGCATGAGACTCTATCCTGATAATAACTATTTAAAGTTGCACTTTGAGAATTTATTTAGATATCGAATAAACACAGTCTTTGCACAGGATCTTATTTTAAAAATCATATGTCTTCTCTACTCCCTAGGTTTTATAGAATCATCTAATAAGCCTACATACAAATTCTAGGATCCTCCTACAAGGGGATTATAAATGCTTTTTGGTGATGTAAAAATTATATAAAATTCAAATTTTGATGTCCATCAATAAATTTTTATTAGAACACAGCCACCTCATTTGTTTACCTGTCATCTATGTCAAAGGCAAAGCTGAGTAGTCATCACAGAAACTACAAGGCCCACAAAATGTAAAATATTAATTCTAGTTCTTTACTGAGTCTGCTGACCCTTGCTATGGATCAATGTCTCAAACTTTATTGTACATACCAGTAACCCAGGGATATTATTAAAATGTAGATTCTAATAATCTGATAAGTGGTATTTGGATAAGTGGTTAGATGAAAAAGCCTGAGAAAGAGATGCAACCTTCACTATCTTCTCTTCTGGAGGTCACAGGCATTTTCCTTCTCACTTCTGGTGGTTTCTGTTTCCTATTGGTCAATTGGACCTAGAGGAATATGCTTCAGCCAGACAGATCAAGGTGAGCATGGCCACAGTGGAAAGAAAGTAGCATGTGTGATCCCCTTTGTCAGCCCAGCTACTGGAGAGGCTGAGGCAGGACAGAGTGGGGTGGCCTGGAGGGGGCAGTGTGTGGAGGGAGCCATAGCCTACCCTGAAACATGTCCTCCCCTGCTCAGTATGGCGTCTTCCCTACCCTTCCCCTACTTGGTCTAAAATTTCCATCGTTGAATTCACGCAGTTATAGGATTCCTTTTGGTCTCTGTTTCATTCATCCAGGCTCACATGGTGAGACCCTCTGGCTCTCGTCCTGCCTCCCTGGCTTCTCTTGATTTTTCCTCCTGTCTTTTCCCTGTTTTCTTCTTTATATGCTCTTCCCAGGCATTGTCACCTGTTTCCATGGCTTCTACACTATTTTTATACTGACAACTTCCAAGATATTTCTTGTCTGGGCTTTCTTCTGAGTGTTTGTCTGCTTGAGGTTTCCACTTGGATATATCACAGCCAATTCAAATTTTTTTTATCCTCACCCGAGGACATTTTTGCATTTATCTTCAGATAGAGCAGGAAGGAGAGAGGGAGTAAGAGAGAGAGAGAGAGAGAGAGAGAGAGAAATATCGATGCAAGAGAGACACTTCGACTGGTTGCCACCTGCATAACCCCAACCGGGACCGGGGACTAACTGCATCCGAGGTACGTGCCCTTAGCGGGAACCAAACCCGGGACCCTCTGGTCTAAGGGCCTATGCTCTAACTGCTGAGCCAAATCAGCCAGGGCCAATTCAAATTTAATAGTCCCCCAAATGAGCTCATGATCATTAGCTGAAGACTACTTGTCCTCCAGTAATCTCTAATAGTAAGTAATGAGCACCTCAGACTCAGAGGCCTGGGAGTTGGCTTGGCTTCTCTCTTTCTTAACCTCCATGAACTATTGTTATGACCACCTCCTAAATATCTCTGGAATCCATCCACTTCTTTCCTTTCTCACTGTCACCATTTTAATCCCTGTCTATATCATTTGTCCCCTGCTTTTTCAGTAGCTTTCTGTTGAATTCCCTATATCTAATTTTGCCACACTAAAAATCACTTGTCCTGAGTAATCTAAATGGATAAAAATATGATCATACCCCACTTTCCTAGGATAAGGTCTAAACTGCTTGATTGTCCACAGGTCCTGCATACCTGGACCCCCATCCCATGTCTCTGGTCCGTCTTGTTACTTATTCCTTCACTTCCTATGTTCCTGCCATGTTAGATTAAAAAAAAAAAAGTTCTTTTTCAGCCAAATATTTCAAACACAACACTGCCTATAATTCTTCTGCCCATCACAAAATACCTTCTATTTCTTGCCTTAAAATTCATTTCCTCTGGGAAGCCTTCTCCGAGTTTCCAGGGGAAGCAGATGTTCTGGGCATGTGCTCACATAGCATCCAGCGCTTGCTCAGGGTCCCCATCAGACGCAAGCTCTGTGAGGTCAGGGATGCTGTCTTTTCCTCCATTATCCTAAGTACCTCGTGGAAGGCCTGCCATCCATACCTATCTGTGAATAAATTAAAAAATATAGGCAACCAGTTTGATTTTGATGCAAATATTTAAAATTCATAGAATAATTTCTAATTTTACTACCTTTAGATATCCATTCAAATCACTAGTATTACTATGTCCCTCCGTGGGGCTTAAATGCTTCCCATGTAAGCACTGTGTAAAGCAGGGGTGTGTGAGAAATTCCCATCTGGAGATAAGCATCCTGCTTAGACACGTGAGGTGTTCAGGCTCAAGGGAAGAACAACATGGTAAGAGACTTTTCAGACTCATGTGCCCTTTCCCTGGTTGAGTAAACAAGTCCCCAACTCTAGTCACCCTTTTAAATGAGGCACTGAGACAACATTCATCCTCCAGCAACAATTCCATGACATTAAATTTCCCTTTAAGGATTTTTGGGGTTCATTTATTTTCAGGTGTCAGAGACTTTGCCTCAACTTTAATAATGCTTGAAATTCCATTCTCATGGAATACAGTGGTAAGGGGGGCAATTTATTGAGAATTTATTGTGGTAGTAAATATTTATAATAATATTACTAGGTTCCAGGGACTGTTCTAATCATTTTATAGTTATCAACTCATGAAATTCTTATTTAACCATATAAGATATGTACCATAATTAACTCCATTTTCAGATGAGGAAATTGAAGTTAAGAAACTTGCTTAGGGGCACATGGCTATTATGTAGAGTAGCCTGGATTTGAAAATTTTACTGAGAAGTAACTTATTTTCCTTATTGTAGGCTTACACTACAGAGTGACGAGAGATTTGCCATCCTCATGTCCCCCGGGGCCTACCTCCCCATCCCGGGCTAGGCTGCCTCTCCTCCTGCGCTGAGGTCCTCGTCTCTGTCTCACCCCGCCTCAATACCCCACGTCTTATAGTTCACAGTCGGCGTGTTCCAGGGTGAAAGTAGAATGCTCTGACCCAGAGGCAGGCCAAGGGGCATGAGCATGGATTTGTTTTTGAAGGCTTTTAGCCTACTTCGAAGATTAACGTAGATTTGTTGTTGGTGGTGGAGTGTGTGTGTATGGGGGAGAATGGGCTTCGTACTCTGAGGGTTGAAGGGAAAATCTGTCAGGAGAGTTGTGAGGATTCCCCCAGTGGGAATGAAAGAGTTTGGGGTCTTTGAACACTTAATGCCACTGAGATGGGAGGCACAGTGGCTGCATGGCATGCCCACCAAGAGTGAAGACAAAGGGTCCCCATGGCCAAACTTGGCTTGGAGGGAGTAGAGTTGCTAGAAGAGACCCCCACCTTTAAATGGGTCCTGGCTTGGGCAGGTGACCATCAAGTCTGAGGAACAAGCCTTTCCCTGTGAGCCAGCATTCTATAAAACCTGGGCTGCTAAATGATACAAGTGTGTGGATGGAGACCTGAACGTCAACTGGCATATTTGTCTTCCAGCCCATCATGGTGGGTCGGGCCTGGAGTAGACACAATTTAGTTGTG